TCCTCCTCTCCCTTGTTGGCCTCCTCCTCTTCCTCGTTGGCCTCCTCCTCTCCCTCCTGGACCTTCTCCTCTCCCTTGTTGGCCTCCTCTTCCTCATTGGCCTTCTTCTCTCCCTTGTTGGCCTCCTCCTCTCCCTCGTTGGCCTCCTCCTCTTCCTCGTTGGCCTGCTCCTCTTCTTCCATGGCCAGCTCTTCTCCCTCCTCTGACTCGAATTCCTCTTCCCCTGACTCTGCCTTCATCCATTGTGTTTGGAATCTTCAGCAAACTGTGCACTCTGAACTTGCTTTTATACATGTGGTCACAGCAGTAGCAACAAGTGTCTTCAATTTTGAGTCGTTGTGTGTAATGAATGACGCCAGGTGTGTTCATTGTGTTCAAATATTGCTGACTGTGGCAAGCATTTTGCATCACATGAGCTTTCATTTGAGAATATGAGCAACTTGTGTTTTAGCAAGGAAAAATGTGTTTAGATTTATGAGAACGGAGGATTGTGTTTTGTGAATTGTGTCTGTTTGTGAAATGTGTTTTAGCATTTGAGAAAAACTGTAAGATGATCTGACCAAATTGAAGCAGCAATTTGATTTTCAGCAATAAACATGTTCATAATATTTATGTAAATTGTATATTACTAACTTAATTAACTTGTGATTGCCATCAATGTGCCAGAGTGCCAATGGAGATGGTACACTATAGCCTCTTCGCTTGATGGTGTTAATTGTCAGGCCCCTTAAGGAAACACCAATGGGATCGACAGCCCTCATAACTTCCCTTAGCCTCTTTTTCTGCACCTTAAATTTTGAAATAAATTAAGACATAACAAGAGAGTAATTAAAAATTCAAATTACTACAGACAGTAGTAAATGTATGTGCTGCAGTTACCTGCATACATTTTTAGACAAGCAAAAAAATATATAAAAAAACTAAAATTGTTGTTTGATTGTAGACAAATATGGTTGATGCTTAAGATTTATCTAAAACTTACCTCACTCCCATACTGCAAAGAAACCCTGACACTTTTTTGTAGCCTGAATCTGGAAACTCTGTGATCACATTTGTCACTAGTTTATGCAGGTCTTCCTCAGATATTGCACTGTAAGTGCTATGGATTGAAAGACCATATTCTTCCATTCTTCTATGGACAGTTCTTGTACTAATGCCCAACATTTCTCCTATCTGTGGAACTGTAAAGTTATAGTCCAGGAAAAACTCCAACTGATCTTTGGTGACATTAATTTTGACCTCTGGTACCTGTATGACTTGTTGTTACAACAAAACCTTTGAATACATTGTTGGGTTCACACTCCAAGAGCTGCTTTGCTCTTGACAGGTTTTCTAAAACTAAATCAGTTTCACATGTTCTTGTCTGAAAACATCTGATTAGAGTAGTTTCTATCTGTTCTATTCTATAGTAAATAAAATCACTATCGTCAAGAATTGGATTCTTAAGGTAGCGGGCTGTGTTTTTAAGAACATCTGCAATACTGTCCAAAAAATCTTGAGGAAGTCCTTGGAATCTGTAACAATGTAGAACATATTGAAATTTTGCTCCTATAGACGCCCCAGGCCAAAGAATTTCATTCCAACCCTTAACATAAATACATATCAGATGAGCAAATATACAGTAATAAAGGTGTCCAACTTTTCGGAATATCGGAATGAAAATCTGACTGGTGTGCATCCAGGAGTAGGGGTGAAAAACATGGATTTTGTGCAATAAACCAATATAAATGTTAAGTGGGGTGTTTTTAACTAATAAATTATAATCACACATATTAAAAGCCGAAAGATATCTTTATTATTAAGTATTAATATTTACAATTTAAAAATTATTTTAAAATAATCTTTTCATATAAGGCTTCTCTGTTGTCAAAAATAAATTCATTACAGATTGTGAATGATTAAGCCTTTGACCATCTTGAACTCAAATTTATACCATCGGTTTTAATATGTTATTTATGTAGACGTTGTTTAAACAGTGGTAAATTAAAATAAATGTCATTTACGTTGAAAAAAATTTAAAATCTTAAAAATTCTACCTTTGATGCTGTTCATCCGCCAATTTCCGCGAAATGCATTATGGGCTTCGGTATCCGTAACAACCCGATAAACGAATACGGATCTTCATGTCTTCATGCCGAATGCGAAAGTTCATGAAGCAAAATCACGTCTTCATGCCGAATGCGCATGTTCTGCGTGCATGTATTCATCCCGAATGAGACGCGAACGCGCATGTTCTGCCTTCAGGTCTCCATTCCGAATACAATCTTGTACCTTTCGCGTGTTTGTCTTCATGCTGCATACGCATGTTCAGCATGCATGTCTTCTTTTCGAATGAGCATCTTAATAATGGCATTAATGACCCCCCATAAATGGGTTGGAAATGCGTTCCTATCCGCCTTAGAGACCACAGACAGCATAAGGTTATTCAATGTTGAAAAGCTGAAAAAGTAATAAAATAAAAAACGTTGCATTGTGATACTTATTCCATCATCTCCGTGGCTATAAATCTGACACAATTTCACCCTTGCCTTTTTATATAGCTATCCTCTGTTGCCATTAGCAACATCATAACAGCATCACACCCCCCACAAAGGACACATTTAATTTTAAACTACTAAATAACTGAAAAAGGTTAATATGAAATATATGAAAACTGTATGTATTAAAATATCCTCCCATTTACAGAAGCATATGTCCCATGCAGGATGTCATTATCTTCAACTTTAGTGTTGGTGACAGACGGTTTTTAAGAAAGAGCAATTGAAGTCTTTCTCTCTCTCTCCATCTGTCTTACACACACACACACACACACACACACACAACCACACACAAAAGAGTCCATAGAGTTGAGCAGAATTTCGTCTCATTTTATCAAGGTTGGATGCAAAAAAAAAGAAAAAAAAAATGTATATACATATACAACACCTATAAAAATGCTTTACATTTTTAATTTTATTAAAAGACAACTCAATTTAAACCCATTTTAAAACTGCTCCACAATCTCATGTCTTCCAGAAGTTCGGGTTCTGGGTCATTCTTCTCTCAAAGTTTTCATACCTGAAGCAAAAAGGTAGAGAATAAAAAGCATAGTATGTGAGAAACCCAATCAGAATAATAAGACATGGGGTCATACCCATGGTCATATGTATCCCACCTTATTTTGGGCATGTACATAAAACAATGTTTCTCAACCCAGTTCTCAGAGACCCCAAGACAGTCCATATATTTGCTCCATCACAGCTCCCAGCATATCTGTACCAATTATTCTGTGTTCTTGATTAACTGGGTGCTTGGAGACAGCAAAAATGTCAAAGTCCCCAAGTAATGGGTTGAGAAACACTCTCATAAAATATGACATTATTGTTAAGCTTGCATGTAATCGTACTATGTTAACCAATATATTATTGCACTGTATGTTAACCATATAAATTCATGAAGTACAGTATAAGCACATGGATTTAAGGGAATAGACAGAGTAAAACCCTTTGTATTACATGTGCATCATATACCCTTCAGCAGTTATATATAAAAGATATGTATTGATAAACTTGTGCTACTATTATGTTTTTAAAAAGATCAAGCAATGGGAACTGAGGTTAAAATGTATAGCAATTTAAAATCTCTGAGCTATCATGTCTATACAGAAATGAAGGTAAGCCTGTTTTATAGCTCACTGCCGATGTAAGTTAATGTGAATAACATGGGATGGTGGTATTAATATCACACATCATCCAGCCCTATAATATGCTACAGCCATTTTTCGAATTCAGTGCAAATTATCCCATGTCACGTTGGGATGTCAATCGGTGCTGGTACCAGATTTTACACCTTGTACACGGTGCTGGTACCAGATTTTACACCTTACACCAGATTTTACACCCTAAACATGGACCAGAGAACACAAAGGAGAGAGCTATCTGAAGAGCTCAGAATTAGGATTACAGATAACCATGTTAAGGGTAAAGGTTGTAAGACCATCTTCAAGCAGCTTCATGTTCCTGTGACCACAGTTGCCAATATAACCCCAGGTTCTGAGCTCTGCAGACAGCTCTCTCCTTTGCGTTCTCTGGTCTGGTCTGATCAAACCCCAAGTTGATCAGAAGGATAGTGCAGATGGTAGAAAAAGAGCCAAGGAAACCATCCAAAACCATTCAAGTTGAGCTACAAGGTCAAGGTATACCACATTCTGATCTCACCATCTGTCGCATTTTGAACAATAATGGGTTCCATGGAAAAAGACCTATTAGGGCTCCACTACTGACAGAAAAACATAAAAAATCCAAAGTGGAATTCGGCAAAATGCATTTTGACAAGCCCCAAAGTTTCTGGGAGAATGTCCTTTGGACTGAGGCGACAAAATAGAAACATTTTGGCCAGTCACATCAGCTCTATGTTTACAGAAGGAAACATGAAGCTTTAAAAGAAAAGACCACCAAACCTACTGTGAAACACAGAGGGGGCTCAGTTATGTTTTGGAGCTGCTTTGCTGCATCTGGCACGGGGAACCTTGAATCTGTGCAGGCACAATGAAGTCAAGACTACCAAGGCATCCTGGAGCCAGTTCTGTCAAAAAACGCAGCCTCAGGTCATGGGTCCTCCAACAGGATAATTACCCAAAACATACAGCTAAAAGCACTCAAGAATGGCTCAGAAAAAAATCATTTTACTATTCTTAAATGGCCCTCCATGAGCCCAAATCTTAATCCTACTGAACATCTAGGAAAAGATCTGAAAAATGCAGTGCGGAGACGCCACCCTTCAAACCAGAGACATAGTACAGAGATCGCTTTCTGGCAGTGATTGCTGGAAAAGCAAAGTCAGATTTGTGTTAAATATGGAATAAACAATAAGGGATGCCAATAAACCTTTGTTGGCTTCAAGTTATTTCAGAGATGGTTGTATTTTTTGTGGATGGGGGATCCAAGAGTGAGCAAAGCCAGGCGATGACAATGGCAAAGTGCCAAAGAAGGGAAGGCCACATGACTGGTCCATGAAGTACTAGAAAGTATTGGATAAGGATATGCATAAAAAATAAACAAACTGACTGTTTGGGGCACACTTGCAGGATGCCCAACCTTGATTGTACCTCCATGGATGCATTAACCCTCTGGAGTCAGCAATCCTGCCAGCGGGATCTGACAGAAATTTCGCCAAACCGTTTAAATAACTCTGCGAGTTTTTGTCATATACACATTTAAAAAACACCCTCAGAAACCTTGGACGGTCTACTTTTCAAATATATATAGGTAGAAACTAAATATATTTGTACAGCTTCGTGATACGAATAGAAAGAACAAGAGTGCTCTGATCGCCCACCCACTTGCAAATCGCGCTATTCGCATGATAACAACATGATAATCCGACAGTTAGTACTGGGGAAAGAAATATGTGAATACGCCCATTGTGATTGAAATAAACAAGAGCACATGTATGGGTAGTGTTTACACTGATCGGCTACAATATAGCACACGAATACATCTCTGCCGCTGAAGCCTTGCGCCAGTGTTGCCACTTTCAGCAGCGAATCTAATACCTGTGTTCATGGCTCAGTGGGCTAATAAACTGCGAAATCTACCAATAAACTGCGAAAAGGATTTTTTTTTTGCTACTTTTCTTGCGTTTCAAACTACCTTTACAAAGTGATGGGTGTGGGGTGCAGTGACATTCCAGACTGATGCCATTGACAGTATGCAAACAACTACAGGTGTGGGGACACCTATCTAATCAATATTCATTGTGCAGGCCACTGACTTTGAGAAAAAGAGTGTCACTCTAAAGTTCTAACACATTAGTAATCAAACCACATAAAATATCAGAATGTCTCTTTCACCTATGTGTAGCTAACCCCTGTGTCTATAAGCTTCAGAGCTCAAAAGTCTTGGCTAGAAATGTCTATAATGCGATTTTTTACAATTTCTCAGCATGTCTGAAAATAGGTTTTTGAAAAGTATATGTTTAAAGTTGATTTTAACAAAAATAGAATAATAACATTGTAAGTGGTCTCAGATTATTGGTGCTGAGTTTGTGCTAAATAAAAGCAAATGTAACACTTTGGGATAAATGTTTTTTAGATAGGTGAAATATTTTAAAATGTCAAGGCATGTCAGACTACCCTGAAAGTGGCTGAGAGGCCTCAGACTCCCAAGGGTTAAAGACTGATGCTGCAGGATTACGCATGCAGCTCCTAACTCTTGATTGGCACAGGAGGGAAAACCATGACACTACTAAACCAAACCCCACCTTTCAATCTCAGAATGCCTGACCTACTCAAACACAAATCAACACAATATAGATAGGACTGCTGGGAAATGTTGCAGACAAAAAAATAGAAATACAACACACCTAGTGTCATTAAATTTGTATTATTCATTTCACTTCCCTTGTAATTATTCTGGCTCTAACACGAGGCACTTTAGAGGGAAGCCACATAAGACATTTGGTATCAATGGTCCTACCATCGACGGAGGGAGCTGGCAGGGATGAACATCTCTGAAGGGTTGGGGGTCATTTGAGCTTGAGACACAGCAAAGGAAGAGGAGAAGTTGTAGAGGCTCTGCAGCATCTTCTGCGTGAACTGCGTGGGAAAAAAAAGTTTTATTTGTCAAATGTCCACTGAGCTTGGCCTATATATATATGAGATCCAATGCTACCAACAAGAAATGATAACCTACATAACTTGTAATGTGAGATAGTGAGGGAGCCATACTTAATGTGCATGTGCTTGTGTGGTGGTGCTTGAACCTGTGTGAAGGAATCCACAGTAGAGACACTGGCGCTGGATACAGGAGTCTGTTGAGCCAGCTGCTCGAGGGATTCAATAGACACACCCACTTGGGCCACTGAGGGCATGTGGGATGCAGACATCATTCCAAAGGGATGTTCTCCGCCCACACCTGAGCAGCACAAGACAGGTGAAGCAAGCATAAATCAGTGTAATATAAGCCGTACTTGGACTTGCCACACTCACCTGCCTTCAAGCCTGAAATCTTGAAGATGGCACTGGGCTTGTCATTGGTGATGAACCCAAGCAACTGCCACACTGGGCTGGTATTGGGGTCCGGGAAGGAGAAGTAAACTGCCCCACCTGTGCCCGTGGGGAAGGGCATCGTGCCCAGCATGAAGACTACCACATGGTTGACATTCTCACAGTCTGGAAGGCTGAAGACAAACTTGTCACTGGCCACCTGCTGTGGATCTGTCTGGACCTGAAACAAGCACTGGACTGACGACTGCTGCAGTTTCACATCTGCAATAAAGATGACTGGGAAAACATGCTTATATCTAATATTAACACCCTGATGGCAATCCTGAGGACAGGTAAAGAGCTACCCAAAATTTAAGTTCTCACTATTTCAAGTATTTAAAAAAATACTAATACTAATACATTTATCACTACTAATCTTAAATGATCATTTTAACACAGACATTAAATTCCATAGTAGAATTTATAAATGTTCCCAGATTCAATTTAAACTAGATATAAAATATAATTAAAGCGTCTTCCAAGATACAGCTAAATATAAATAACGCAAACTGCTAAATCAACTTAGGGTGAGGGTAAAATGCGGACTGATTACAAACAATGGATTTTATGTTTATAAACAGACGTGTCGCAAATGACGCACGCCGCGTAGACAGATCACGTGGCATAGAAAGAAAACCATACGACGTTACCTAATCACGGGGTGCGTTCGAGGTGTGTCTGCAGCTGACGTGACGTGGACCGCATTGCTGATCTCCTCGAAGGCTCTTTTGTTTACGTCCGGCGGAATCCGCATTTTACTCTCACCCATCAACTTATACAAACACTATTGAAACTCAACACAAGGCAACTGGTACGAGGTATACAACGGTCATATATCAGCGAAGCAACATGGACATTTTAAGCCGAGCTTTTTAAATCGTCATCTAAATATTGCAAATATATGTAATATTATTTTACTCACCAATCTACCGGCCACTATACATCCAAACATTCTGGAAAACTATTGCTGGATTTTCATAAAGAACAGCAGTCCATCCAAGGAATTAACTTTCTGCATTTCAGGCGTATAGTTATTTCCAGAATAGCAATGGCAATGACAACTTTATTTATAACGCATTTTTATACAACGAAGTTGACCAATGTGCTACAAGTGTATCAGAATAAGAATAAATGCCAAAAAATAAACTTAAAATCACATCTAAAGTACATTAAATTAAAAATAAATAAAACAGACTAAAATAATAAAATAAAGTATTGTTTTGTCAATCGTGCTTATACTCACAAACATTGAATGGAAAGCTGTCCTTCACTACAACGAAAAAGCGGTGCTTAGAAAGTTCGAGAGATCTCCAGACACAGAGACACTAGAAACAGGATGTGTAGGCGTAACCTACCCATAACCCCGGAAACAAAATAAAAGGCTATCCCTGATTGGTTGACGTTAGATACTTTTCCCTGTCTTTGTCTTAATAAATGTACGAAGATCACAAACCACTGCAAAATTCAACTTTATAAATAAACATTTACGAGGGATTAACAAAGAAGATAAATAATTAACATGACAAAACAAAAAACATGTAAATTATCGAGGGAGTTTTCAAAAATGTCACCTCAAAACAAGGTAAAATTTGGCTTGGAAGTTGTCACTCTGGCTTTGTGAATATGAAACTTGCCCTAAAGATAAAGCAATTTGACTGCATTGTCAACAGGTATACCACTAGTGTCACAAGAGAAACAAGACAATTTACTCCGACATATCAACAACAATTTAACGCAAAACTCTCGCGAAAATCTCGCAAAATATTACCAGGAGAAAAAAAAGAAAGATAAACATTTGCGAGATGTCTCAAAACATTAATAACTGTGCTGTGTCCTTTTGAAATACAAAAGATGGACTAATATAAGTATAAACGTAAACGATACAGACATGTCCAGTTAAGTGTGCTTTAAGCATTAAATTTTGGGGTACCATGTACAATAAACAAATCTCAGAAGGCCTAAAAAGTGGCAATGTGTAACCTGTTTTGGAAGCAGCAGATTTAATTTTCTGTACATATTTAAAGTATTTCTCTTTCACACATCTCTGACATGCCCCAAATTAGGGAAAGTTGCTGTTCGGCCGGATATTTTTAATTTAGTACGGATTCAAATGATTGAACTTCTAAAAACAACCTGAGATCACTATATATGCATTATTTTTAAATGCAATGTGACCTACAACTTTTTATATTTAATACATATATATATATATATACACTCACCTAAAGGATTATTAGGAACACCATACTAATACGGTGTTTGACCCCCTTTCG